CAATAACTGAACATACTTTAGCAAGGCTACACACACCTATATATATTGCCTGTAGCTCCATTGGTTTCCAAAGGAATGAGATTTACCACAACCTATCCACATAAAAAACATGTATAAAAAAACAGCACCGGGAATTAGCACTACTTCAAATATTCTCTTTACTAATAACGCTCATTGTATTGAAAATAACTAAGGAATTTGTTATTGACACATCCATGATAAATAAATTATACATAAGCACCGTCTCAAACGTTCTATTTATTAATGAATATCATTGTGTTGAAGATATAATTATGAAATTTATGCTTGACATATCATGCTAAATAAATAGATTATACATATAAAAATGGGCACTATATCATGAAAACAACTATTAGGGGCAAAGCAAGCACGCACATACACATATAATTTGAAAAGAAACTTCAGTCTCATACATAGGAGCATCAAAATTATGCTACAGCACCAATAATCACTCGGTCATGCTGTAGATTGAAGAACACTTGGTAACTAAAGGTAAATCATATAATACTGAACGCATTTAGAAACACTTATCTATGAAACTGGAAGAAGTCCATGCTGCAGATAGAAGAATACTTACAAATTATGACGAGGACTATATATTTCCTCCCCAAAGACAAAGAAGGTACAGACAAATCTGTCATCTGAAACCACCATAATCCCTATCCCAACAATCTTGGGCGTGCAACCAGGACACCCGCAATCGCGACCAACCTCCATGAGCATGGAAAGTGAAAGGGTCAGAGAGAGATAGAGGATGTCGTACCTCCATACGAGGATATCGATGGCGTAGCTAGGGTTTGGTCGGTCACGCCATCAAAAGGAAAGGAGAGAGAGAAAGGGGAGGGGAAAACGGAGGTGAGAGGCAGCCGAGGTTGGACGGAGGAGGAGGAGGAGGCGAAGGAGGGCGGCGCCCGCCGCCGCACAGCAGTCGCATCCGGCGGTGCCGTTGTCGCCCCTCCGTGTGTCGGGACAGAGAGAGACCGATGGGGAGAGAGGAGGAAGCCAGGAGAAGAATCTGGAACGAGGGAATGAGAAGCGGGAGCCAGGTATATATTTAGTGGTTGGGGTCTTGACGAGAAGCCGCAGAAGCTAGCCAGAGCAACTGCGACGACGAAGAGTTATAAGAAGTTGATTCTAACGGAAGCGGCTATAAGCAATCTTGGCCATACGATGACAGATCGGACGGTGGTGGGAATTTCGGGCGACGTGGACGGCGCTCCTGGCCGAGGAGCATGTCCGGCTTGTCTGGTTAAACTCACTGATAAATTGTTCGGTCGCTTATGAAGAGTACATTATTTTCTCTTCTTTATATTTGTTGCAGACCATGTGTTCGCATCTCAGTTTTGTCTCATGCAGCCTCATCTTTCAGCTATGTTGTAGTTGGTGTTTATATAATTGTTATTGTCCTTGTTTTGGCGGTGTTTTGTTGCTTATAATGAAAAAATTCTAAGTTTTACATACATATAACCTAGGCCTGGGCTTAGCAAAGTAAAAAAAACTTGATCTCTTCACTTTAATTGGCCTTTTTATATCCATCAGATGCCTCTTTCAACAATATTTTTGTTAGATGAAATTACTTTCCTATTCAACAGTAGCCTTAGCTGAACTTTTCTACATATTTCACCTATAGGGTTGCTATTTAGTTCATTAACAATTTTTGGTAGTCTCAGCTGTGTTTGCTTCAAAAATAAGGTCCACCTCCTATGCTGACAGTTCATCAGCTTTATTCTTCCGAAAAAAAGGTTAGCTTACCTAACAACAAAATATGAACATCCTTGACATCATTAGTGGCGCTCCTTGCAATTTGAGTTCTACTACGATGATCTATTCCTAGGCTCATCTATTGGGATCATGTCTCATACTGCAATTTTTAGCTTTTGCTTTAGCGGCCCCTTTTCATTACTAAGAACCAGGTTATTTTCCTTGAGAACAGAGGCTACACAGACAGATGCAGGTAACAACCATCCAAAAGCCTTATATTAGCGGTCCTGTCGCTTTAGGTGGAAAACATAAAATCATTTAAGGCACAAATCCATAATTTCTGTGTGAGCTTTCCCCTATATGTCTTATTTATTTTTGACCGAACATTTCACGCCATTTTTTCTAAGAATGGCTCCATGTTTTGTACTTTTCATACATTATTGATTTTGCTGTTGTGACACCAATTGGCGCTTCATCCAATACTTTTCTCTTGTAAAAAAGAGCATACCCAGTGCAGAGAGCTCCCTCTCTGTGCGGGGTCTGGGGAAGGGTGTCAGTGGCCAGCCTTACCCTCGCCTGTGCAATGCGAGGAGATCGCGACTCGAACCCGGGACCTTCCGGTCACAGGCGGTAAGACTCTACCGCTTGCACCAGGGCCGCCCTTCCAATAATTTTCTCTTGTAGCAAAACAAAAAATGCCTTTAGCCTTTGCCTAAACATGCAGGATCTAATACTGCATCTGATCTCTTTACAGATATCCAATGCCTTCAACAAATAGCAAAAAGAAAGCAAATAACTATTGGGCATGCCATCTGAAGAACGGCAAAAAATGACTGCCCATGTTCCAATGCCTTCAACAAATAGCAAGAAGAAAGCAAATAACTATTGGACATGCCATCTGAAGAACGGCAAAACAATGCCTACCCCATGTTGCAGGGGACGAAAAAAGTACTAAGCTTATTCACCCTTTTCATCAAATTTGTGACATTGCTACAACTCCGCATAGGCCTTTCCTATTAGGTAACAAACAAGATTCGTTAACACTTCTTCAAATTTGACTGTATATGACAGTGCTTAATGATCGTTACTCCATACATCCGCTGAGTAGCCACATAAAGGATCAAAAGGTTGTTGTTGTCAGCCGTTTATAGACTCTTCACTTATAATGTGTATTGCGTTGGCTGCCACATCTATGTTAGACATGTAATCTATTCATAGTTGAATCCCGTGCTTGTGACATGATACTACTCCCACCATGGCGCATTATAATTTTTTTTTGGCTTTTCTAGGTATTTTTTTTGGCTGTGCATCTAGATTACCTCATAAATTAACCATTGCAAGATTACCAAAGACGTATGTGCCTACGCACGCGAGGGCATGCGGTTTCTACTAGTAGGATATAATGATCGGAGAAAGGCTAACCAACAACTGACTGTTTTTCTGGCCGGCAACAACCAATTTTTCTGGCCGTATGATCGGATTTGGGAGACACTATAACAACCGGTTGTTTCGCCAGGTGCCCCTCACTGGTGTCACACGACTCCCGATCCCCAATTCGGGTAGCCACCTACTCGGCGAGCCATGGCCGACCGCGAAGACGAGCGCCAGGCAAGCCCGTGGCGATCTGGGAGGCTCGCGGAGGAGGCGGACTCGAACGCCTTCCCCTCCTCCATCATCCTCTCTTCGCCCGAGCTCGGCACTACCGCCACCATCGCCGCCGTAAGCCTGCTGCTATGTTGTCCATGCCCCGCTTCTCCCTTTCCTTGATCCCTCGGCCTGGCCGCTGCCCCAAGCCGGCCGCTGCCCCCTCCGCCGACGCCCCCGTCTAGCGTCCTCGACGTGGGCGTGGTCCTCTCCCGTCCATAATTTTCGGCTTCACGCCAACTCTCAGGAGTAGGAGTACTGTAGATCTCGACGAGTTCTTCAACAAGCAGGGCTGCATCGACTGATCGACCTCCGATTTGTCTGTGAGTACCGTCACAACTTATATTATGCTTGTAAAGCTGCATCAGTCGATTGATCTTTTACGAGTATAGTATAAGTTAGTTATCGATCTGTATCATTATTCGTAAGGCTGCATCAGCTGATTGATCTCTTATGGATCATAATATAGATCAAAGTTATCGATCTTCTAAGATTAGTAAGATTTTCCTGGTTGTTCTTGGTTGATTCACTAGTTATCGATCTTGTTATAATTAATATTTCATTAATTATAACAAATCATCTGATTGAGATAGAGATAGATCGGCATCATATCATCATAATTGGTCGTCTTCTAGTCTGGTCACACTTTGAATCTCATAATTGATGGCTTAATTCTGCAAGATCAGATGTTTTACCTCTATTCCAATCAAGCATAGTATGCATTCAAAGACATGTTTTCGATCTTGGATGAACTCACTAATTAATGAGATCTAATCTAATGACACCACCATAGCTGTATCGATCCGGTCGAACCTCACTGTTAAGACTTTAGATTAGAGATTATCGATTAGTGGTTTTGTTCGTGATCGATATATGTACTCTGTTTGTTTGCTATGCATGCATCGGCTATTTTGGCCGATTCGTCTGTGCATTCACACATATAGCATGTTTTTTCATTAACCTGTCAATATATAGATGGTTTTATAGATTCTTTGGCTTTAGTTTGTTATTATTATCATAACTGTATCGATTCGGTCAAACCTCATTGTTGATGGTAACATATTAGATTCAGCGCGTTTGTAGATTCGTTTGTACTAAACAGTCGATTTGTTCGCATGTTATATCTTTCCTCGTTAAACTTATCGGCTCAATGCTTTACACCGGTTATATCCATCTAGCCGATGATGTTACTTATATTTAGGTGCATTGTACTTGTTATTATAAATCAATCATGACCCACGAACATCACAATCCTTAATCATCGATTTCTCCTCGTATCGGCTATTTAGTCGATTCTCATGTTTGGCTGCTCTCGAAGCAGCACGCTTGAAACTGTCTGGGCAAAACCGGCATGTTCCACCCTAAACTACTGATAAAACTTTATCTCCTTGTCAATTACAGGTTAAATTAACTGGCACGCTTTTCGGGATTTTTAGGATCGACCGGTCCTGTTGTGAAGCCAAGCAAGATCTATGGGTTCACCTCGCTCAGATTGTTCCGGCTTGCTGTGTGTCAGGCGCATCGCCACATTTTTACGTCAACACTAACTTTGATACAGTATCCTTTACTGTACAACCAAACAACTGTCCCTAATCTAGCCAGATGGAAAAGGGGAGAGAAAGCCTACAAAGACTTCACGTTATCAGACGCCTCGGCGGCGCCGGCAGGAACCTTGTTTGCCGCCTTAGCCGCTGCCTGAACACCTCTCGTCGCGCTTTCTCTGAGTCTGAGCTGACGAGTACGGTCTGCAAGAGCTTTCTTGATTGGATCCTCTCCTTGGAGACCATAACAGCAGAAGGTGCCAGGAGGCAATAATGCAGGAGTAGCAAGGCAGAGAGGAGGCTGAAGGCGCAGACGCTGATAGCTCCCATGGCTGATGGCTCTGCCAACTGATGAGTGATAAGATCAGCTGAGAAATGAGGACACTGGGAACTCAAGCCTGCTCTTATAAGAACTTCCATTCCATGTGAGCACAGTCAGCACCAAGAGATCAGAGATCCGAGCTCAGGAGCTCTAATGATTGTGTTTGATTCAGCATGTCATGTGCGCGCAACATTAGTTCAGTACCAACTCCCGTTGTATCTTTTTGTGTGTGTGCCCATTCGGCGATTGTGGGCGGCACATGGAGGCATGGAGCCAACCGAGCCATATAGATTCCATCCACCTTTTCATCTTCTCCACGTATTTTTATATTTATTTTTTGTCCATAACAAAGTCTTATTTTTTTTAGGAGAAGCTTTCTAGTTTATAAATCATGAGCATGAGTTTTCTTTCGTGGATTTCTAATATTATTTATGGTCAGTTTAGATAAACGTTTGGTGTAATCTAGTCTCCAGTTCCTGTCAACTTGCAGAGCATGCAACATCATCGCTGATGTATATTTAGGGGAATGGTTTCTTGATATATTGGGACCAGTGAGCCATCGCAATTCATTCACCTTTTGCTCCTCTTTGCTGTGGTCCTTCCTAGCAACTACCACTATAAAGAATATCTATGCTTGTTTTAGACAGAGCAAGCTACATAGCTGCTTTACGAGTGAGTGGCTCTAGATTCCGATGTCAGTGGTGTCATGAAAAAACCCAGCCATTGTACATGACGTACAGTCCCTCTGATCATGTGACTGGAGCGTTCATTAGGGGCGGGGGATGTGATCTGGAGAGTTAATTGGCGTCAAATCTGGTGCCATTAGAGCTTAGAATGTGTGTGTGTGTGTGTGGGGGGGGGGGGAGGAGAACCTCCACATGCCCACCCACATCCACATGACAGATTCATTTCAAGATCTCCAGTTTGACCACGCTAATCATTGGTTTGTTGCCTCTCCTGTACCGTTGTCCCCTTCAGAAAAAAAAAAAAAAACCTAACATTCCTTAAGGTGCATGAACCCAGTTTTGCACAAATTCGCTCAAACCAGGATATATATAGACTATGGAGACAGGGAAAATACGGTAACTATGAGCAGAATCAGTGTATTTTTGCGTAGACGCTGCGGACTGGTTCGTGGCAAACCGGTTTGAAACACCTACGTGTGGCGCTCGATCGGAGTTTGACGCGACCTGGATTGCCTCGATCACAAATTCACAAGGCTCAGGCTATTTTGGCATGCCCGTATGACGTGTGATTTTCCACCGAGACCATTAGAATAGAACACGCCGTGATCGCGCGCGCCGCGCTGCACGTCCAAGGCGTCATATGGCTGGAGCGGCACGCCGGGCAACCCAAACAGACAAGAGCGGGCCGCGAAATTCCTGTCAGCTCCCGAGTAAAAAGTAGCCCGTCTCCGAACCGCGCATTTGGTAGCGCCTGCGCCAGCGGAAATGTGCCAAAAATTTGCAGCTGGATTCGGCACGAAACCTGTCGTAGAGTAGATTGCTTGTGTCTCTGGCTAGGCTAGGCCAACCGGGCAGCCCTTCGAACGCAGGTTCTCGTGAAAGTTGCTTTGGCAGCTACAGACGGATGACGAGGACCGTAGGCAGGTGGCGGCGGCGTGAAGGAGACGCCGAGTCCGCAGCAACCAACTGCCGTGTCCGTGTTCAGCACTGTGACTGTGACAAAGGCTTTCATGCGACCGTGCCCGTGGACTAGCATGGACTCTGCTTGCGCGCGCGCGCGTCCAGTTCAGTTCAGGCTGCACGCCAGGTGCAAACACACATGTTAATCTCACATCTCCGCGCCGCGCCGAGCCGATCTGCTGGTGATTTGACGTCGTCGCGTCTCTTTCTCGAGGGGTGATCACCCCACGCCTGAAATTGCGATCCTAGCAAGCGTAACATGTCAAGCAAGTACAACCTGTCAAAGCTCTCAGTCCTGGACACGACCAGCAATCGCTGGAGGTCGCCGTCTACTACCAACAACGGCGAGCGGCATCCGTATTTGGGGACCTAAAATCCTCAATGTCTGCCAACAACAGCATCACAACAAACTCCAAATCGAGTGTCGGAAACCTATTGGCCAAAACGCGAAATATCAAACCATTCCATTGTGTAGAAACTATTCCTGCTTGTCTTTGTTGAGAATTTTTTTTAAATAAGCACTAAAGCACAGCTAACACAAACATAAGCCAGATTAAGAGAAATGATGCATGACCAACAGGAAGCACTCCTATTCGAGTGTCGCACTGAAGCTTAGAACCTATCGAGATTGTCCCGTTTGGTAGCAACAGCTACACGGCCACAGAAACAAGCAAAAAATACGCTCTCCTATATCTATAGGATTTTTGGAGAGAAAAAAAAAAGGTAGATGATTAGCACAAGAGCATATATATCCTGATGTCAACTAATACATACACAGTTATAACATTGCTTCCATGACCCTTGGAGGTTTAGGTCTACTTCCACCAGAATTACAAATTTGAATCCTCGGTTCAATTTGTACTGCCAAGGATGACAATATGCCAATGACCAAACAACTATACACGAGTCAAAAAACACTAAAATGTCTGTTACTGGAAAGTTGCATGTACAGACCAAATACAATACAAGCTGATGGACCATAAAGCTCTACCTACTGGTTAAGGTGAATCGATAGATGCAATCAGTTGATAACACCGAAATTCTTTCCCGCCCTGTTCGTTATTTTCCAAATGCTCCAACTTGACTATAAAATCTCTGGTGTCATAAGACCAGAAGTTTTTCCCCACTTGATCTTAAGCATGACAGTTACAATGAAATGTAGCACTAATACCTAAATGTAGTTGCAGCAAACAACTTAGACCCATGCATTGTTTTGGCGTGGCCCTGTGGCCTTATTGCATCAGTAAGGCTGAACCAGTGCAAAATCAGAAAGAGGGGGCAAACATCAGGTTTTAGATGTGCTCAACAAAAGAAACGGTTTCCAACAAAAGTTTCAATCTGCACTTTGCCCCTGGCTAGCTTGGTTACATGAAGGCCTGACTCCTATGCACTTACGAAAACACTAGGTCTCATCAACAACTCCCCCTTAGGTCAATGAGTCCTCTCATCTTGACATCATAATATCATTCAGAATCATATATACTATACTGCATGCAAATCAAGCAACTGAAGGTATAACAAGCAGGCTACCCATTCAGTCAACGATCAAATGAGCATGAGAGAAAAAACTTTATTCTAAGATCACTAAGCATGTCATCATCAACACCGATAAACCACAAACCGACTTAAAGAAAAAGTTTTGAGCCTCACTCCACTCCTTATTCCAACCAACTCTACAGGTTTCTTGGTCTATGTCCAAGAAGCAGCAAAAGAGTGTGGGACGATGCAGCATCAACTTACTCGCCCTCTCCTCTACCACTTACTTACCCTCTCCATCCCTTGCCTCATTGATAGCATCTGCTGCGGCATTGCCCACAGCTATCAACCTCTCCTTCTCTTCCGCGACCGTCACCGGCTTATCTGATTTTTGCGCCCCGGTCAACCTGGCAAGCAGCACGAAGGACATCCCACCAAGCACGTTGTTCATGCAGCGGAGAGCAACAACCGACACCTTGAACACCGGCGCCGGCGCGACCTTGCCGAGCAGGTACTCGACCCCATTCAGCGTCTGGTACCGCAGGTTGCTGCTGACACCCATGTGGAGCGCCCAGGTGGCCGCGTTGAGCAGCGTGGGCGGCGCCTTGTTGGGCGTCTCGAACGCCGGGTCCATGCGCTTCCGCATCGCCATAAGCCCGTTGGAGATCGCGGTCCCGGCGAGCCCGGCCGCGAACCCGACCACAGCGAAGGTGGCGCCCTTGGACATGATCGTGGCGACGCGGGAGCCGAGCGAGTACGCGCCGGGCTCGAACATATGGCTGGGGAGCGCTTTGGCGGCGGACGAGGCGGCGGCGGCGACGCCGGCGGTGGGGGCGAGGAGGTACATGAGGACGAAGTTGAGGATGGATCCGACGACGAGGGTGGAGAAGACGAAGTCGAGCTCGTTGAGGCCGAAGTTGGGGCGGGAGGCCATGTCGCCGAGCACGCAAGCAGTGACGCCGACGAGCTCCTCCATGAGCACCTTGAAAGGGAACTGCGGGTCCGCGGCAACGCGGGCGGCCCAGCCGGCGAGGAAGAGCCCGAGGATGCCCCCGCGGCGTCCGCCGTCGCCGCCTCCGGAGTCCGCGGCGTCGCCAGATCCGCCGGCGTCGCCGTACGATCGAGGCGGTGGGGGCGGGGGCAGCCTACCCCCCGGGCCGGACGGGCACGGGGACCGGAGGCGGAGCAGGGACGAGGAGTTGGCGGAAAGCGGTGAGAAGGTGAGATTCGCGGTGGGCGCGGTGCGGTGGGGGGCGATCCGCGGGGAGGAGTCGAGGTGGGCCGGGAAGAACTTGGCGGCGGCGAGCGCCGTGGAGGCCATGGCGATCCGGACGCGAGGGGATCGCGCGCGTCCTGTGCCCCGCGTGCGAGACGGCGGCGGCGGCGCGGTGCGGGAGGTGAGTAGTGAGACGGCCTCGGATGGGGAAGGGTTTTGGCCTTTTGGGGGTTGGTCAGTTGGAGTGAAGTAGTGCAGCCGTGCAGGGCTGTTTGGTGGGGGGGTTGGTGGTGGACTGGTGGGGACTTGCAAATCAAGTGCGCTCTGCCTCTGCTTCGTGCGGGCGACCTCCTGGCCGTGAGTCCCTCCACCTCATCCTGGGCATTCGGTCAGTTCCTCGGTCATTGGATCAGTTCGGTCATCAGAAACCTAGATTGATCGGTTTTTACAAAAAATAAGACTGAGGAAGTTTGGTCTCGATTAGTTCGGTTCGGTCTCGGTCATGACCGAACTAACTGGACTTGAGTAGCAGCCACAAACAATAGCAGAATCTATAGTAATTTTCAACAGCATGCTTGCTATTTGAAGGCAAAAAAATAACAACACAATATATAAAACAAACCATACATTATTATGACAAGTTCTAGCATATAACTTTCTCAGTTCTCACAAATCATAATCACACATAATGACATTACGAACGAAGTCTACAAAACTACGGTAAGTTCGGTCACTTCGGTTAACCGACACATATGACCAAACTTCTATCGGTTACTTCGGTTAGTTGGGAGCCAAGACCGAACTCATGACCGAACTTTTCGGTCTCGGTCTTTTCGATTCGATTTTTCGTTAATTATGCCCAGAGTTACCTCCACCAACGACTACGAGATGGCTGCTCGCTGAAATCTGGCGTTTGGGTGCTGAACAGTGCGCAGGGTTGTAGCATCTCGTGTGGGTTTCAATTTGTCAGGAGGTACGGTTTCGACAAAAAAAATGAGGAGATGATCTTTTTCCGGTTTTGGCTTCAAGCACAATTGCATGATTAGCCATCATTGAGGGAGTGTGTTTCTTGTTAGATGTGGTGAGAGAAAGCAGTGTGCTCCTTCCGTCCACAAAAGAATATAATTATGAGATCCGTGTGGATCAATTTTGCTCAACTTTGACTAAGTTTGTAGTAAATAATATTATTATTTATGTCTTCAAATAAATTTATAATGAAAATATATTCTATAATTAATCTAATAATACTTATTTTGTATAAAAAATATTAGTATTTTTAATATAACTTCAGTCAAAGGTCAAATTAGTTGACTCCTCGATAAGCGAGAATTACATTCTTTTATGAACGGATGGAGTACCAGACTACCAGGTAAGACTAATTGAGAAACAGAAGACGTTGAATTTTTTCATACTATTAGGCCTTCCCCAACGCTGTTTTTATACCCCAACGCTGTTTTTATACTATTAGGCATTCCCCAACGCTGCTTTTTTACTTGTAGCCCCAAATGCCATATAGGATCGGATAAAAAAATAGATGCTCTACACTTATCATAATAGCTTGTAGAAGCTACATATGTTTGGAGAGAGTGAAAGTGACACATGCTAAAAAAGAAGAGGGAGGGGAAATAAAGGTAAAAGCATGATGAAAGGAAAAGTTTATATGCAAACCACAAGTAATCATAATTTATATTGTAAATAATAGTCTCAACGTTTTCTAATAGATCACTTTATTTGTACTATAACTACCGAGAGTGTTAGCCTCCTCTGCTCTTTTAACACGGACAGCTAAGAGAGACAGAGATATGAAACGGGTGAGCTCCGTACACAGAATCATAGGAGCAGCGTCTACGGCTGTCTGTTCTCCAACTAATAACAAGTTTTGTAACACAAAGCAAACTGCAAATGACGGTGTGTTATGAATTCCTTACGAGTGTACATGATGTCCCACGAAGCCCTTGCTTGGGCCCCGTTGGATGGTCTGAAATTTGGCTGAAAGTGGCTGAAAAATCACTGTTCCGGTTGAATTGTTGTGAGAGAAAAACACTGTTCCGGCTGAAAAAAAAAGCCGAACAAGCCATTTTTAAAACAAGCGAACGGGGTTCTAGAAGTAAATTCCCTTGTGCAATACCAACTCAGCCCGGTGGCCAATTCATCTGCCGTCCCCCGAGAAGATGAAGGTGTAGGTGGTACACCGATTGAGCTACGTAATAACAGAAGACAGAAAAATCAGTCGAAACCCCATTCCCCACCAGGGCACCAACAAGATGGGTCCTGTTAGAATCAGTGAACGATACTCACATCCTTTGGGACCATCGTTCCGATTGAGCTACGTAATAACAGAAGACAGAAAAATCAGTCGAAACCCCATTCCCCACCAGGGCACCAACAAGATGGGTCCTGTTAGAATCAGTGAACGATACTCACATCCTTTGGGACCATCGTTGATGACAATTCTGAAGCCATCATCAAGCCCTTCCTGCTTTGCTACAACCTTGGCAGCATACAGAAGACTGCCCAGAACCTCGACATGCCTTTCTTCTGCCTGGGAACAAGCACATCAATGCATTACAGTTACTGTAGATTATTTGCGCATCAGTATATGCACCAAGAACCTTGAATCCCTAAATAAGTCCTAAACCAAGGTGTGAGGTTTGCTGTTTTCCACTGTACTGCCGTTTTGTCATTCATATTCAGAAGTGTTATGAGGTGAGGCAAGGTCTTCAAGGGTTAAGTCCCATCAAACAGCTGCAGTCTACAATCATATTTGTTCATACTAAAACATAAATGGTTGTGACTTGTGAGGTGGTGAACTGCGAAAGATTTTAATAGTTGCTTATTCTAGTCGCACTTGTGGAGAAAGATAAAGTTTTCCTCAGTGTACTGAACATGAGCCTACTATATTCCAAAATATGATAATTAACAAGTCATCATTCTTAAAATCTCTCATGACAGGAAACCGCACGTAGCTCAGTTGGTCAAGCTCTTAGTACAGTTAGGGGCTGACTGGCCGGGGTTCAAATCCTGGTTCCTGCCTCCCTGAACCTTCGCATAAGGCTGGCGTGTATTCTACTCCCTGCGACCTCAAAAGCTCTCATGCCACAAATGGCACAAATCAAGGCAAGGTCTGAACCGGTGGATCCATTAGCATGCTTTGCCAGAACGAATGAAAAATAAAATAAAATAAAATCAGACAGATAAATGAACCTTCATATGTATTGGTACACTTACGACAAACCGTTACCACAAAAAATAGTGATTTCCTGAAAACAGCTATCATTAAGGAAGTGCCATAATCATTCATGAACACAGAAAAGTACACCTATCAATTATCATTCAAAGCATAAGGTAAACTGGTCATATTTTCAAGCATCCAGTACTCCACGATGAAATCCAGCAGCATACAAGGCACAATACTTGGCAAAATACAATCCATAAAGATGGGGAATAGATGAACATGCATACCTTTGACAGCCTAGACAATCCATCCTTAACCTTCACAATGATTATAATATGTGTAGGAGCTTGTGGTGATATGTCTCTAAATGCAAGGACCTGCAGTTATAGTCATCAAGTGTGGCATCACAACAGTTTAACTGTAATCACATACTACACTAATATTTCAATCTGATTCTTGATATCCATGAAGATAAATTTCTGAAGGTGTTTGGCTTGCCAAGGAAATCTAATGTGTTATTTCAGGAGCACAATTTGTTGAGGACAGACCAATTCATTTCCTTCTTAAACCTTATAGATTTTGATGTGAGATCCCCTGCTGACATGGCAGCAACGGTGATAAACATAGACACAAACTTCCCCAGATGTTGGAGCCCAGAATTTCAAGGAGGAATGTCAAGGGATAAACGGTTCTTGAGTTTTGCCAATGACATGTCAAAGAGGAACATCACCATAGCACCAAAGGTGACAGAGGCATCATTAATTTTAAAGTGTCACATCCATAACATTAGAAACAATAGGAACTTTATCCTGATAGCACAGATAATATTTAACCTTCTCATCCTCATAAACCACCTGAGATGGGATCTCCTTCCGAATAATTTTGTCAAAACTACAAAAGGCAGAGAAGAAACCATGTGAATGGAGGCGTATGAGACATGTATGTGTGAAGGGGATAAAATCGTAGTCATAGACATAAATTACCTGAGCAGCCAGCACCAATGCTTTTCAAGTAAAAAAGAATGAAGTTTGAATTTAGCACATGTTAACTAGTATTTCACATATCTAAGCAACAAGCATGATGCCCAAGCTTGATTAGCTAACAGGGAGTGCTATGCAGAGAAGTTATCTGAAGATTTCTGCATGTTTCCCTAGCCGTGCATCGTGACAGATAAACGAATGCTGCTAAGCCAATGATATATTTTCTGGAGCTCAATAGCCAATTCTACCAGATGTCATAGCGTGTGGGATTGTTTTGCTAGATGATGTGAGGTAACCAAACATTGCCCAACTATTGAGCTTATGTCTTATGACAACTGAGCTCCTGTTGAGGAGAGGAGGTTCTGCTCCTGCTCCTGCATGTGGTAGTTTCAACTACATACCTGCTAAAAACAAGGCCCTTGTTGCCATCTGAATCAGCACTATGGACATACTGCAATGGGATATCTTGATTCACCCAATTGAGTGATAATCTAAGGCTCTAAGCACATCGGCGTCTCCTATAAAATCTAACCACCTCAACAGAATACGATCCTGACTACACGAACCATCTCTCGCATTGGGATCAGTACAGCTCCGCACTGAAGTCCAACACCTAGGATCCAAAATCCAGGGCACTCTCTGCTTTTGCTTATTTTACTAGAACGAATTACTCGCCATGACGCTAACAAATCGCCATCACGCTACCAAATCAAAGTGAATTACTCCCTCATGACGCTACTAAATCGAAGTGACGGTACAGGATTTGGAGAGAATTAAGAGAGCTGACATGGTAGGGGTGCCGGTGGGCTCGGCGGCGAGGGCGGCTTCCTTCTCCCCGGACATGGCTGCCGGACTGCCGAGCGGAGGGCATGATAAGTGGGGCGCGATGACCGCGAGGCGGTTGCCGCTCGCGGTCGGCGGAGGAAGTTGAGCGCTCATCCCCACTGATTTCCCTTCGCTGCTCCTTCTCTTCCGAAGGTGAAGTTGTTGAGCACTCGAGTACTTGACCAGTTGCTCCCCACGGCCCACGCAGGCCCACCCACACTAACTAGGTTGTTGAGCACTCGAGTACTTGACCAGTTGCTCCCCACGGCCCACGCAGGCCCACCCACACTAACTACATTTTACGCCTATCACATCTGCAGCCTGGATTTGGCTTATAAGTCTCGACTTATCAGCCAACAACAATGTTTCTTTCTCACATCAAACCAGCCAGCAATACTTTCAGCCATGACTTATAAAGCCAATCCAGCCGAAACGAGCAGAGCCTATCACAGTTACAGTTACAGATTTGCAAGGTGTAGGAAAGCGCACTGTTCTACACTTCTAGTATGTGACATAAATCATCCGATTTGCCCCATCAGAAGTGAGCATGATTAATTTAATCACTAAATTAAACCCACATCTGAAATCAAGGCACTGGTAATGCGAGGTTCAGAATCTGCACTGAATTTTGGTTTTCTCAATCTGTGCTTGAAACAATTGACACTTCATGCTGGTAGAGCAGACATCAACACCATTTTTCAGAAGGAAACACATCAGCATCTTATCGGGCTGTACGCGACGTTTCACCAGCAGATAATTGAACAGCAGTCACAGCTCGAATCAGCACCCGACCGGGGCTCCACAATATGATGCAGTGGGGTTAGGGTAAGTAACCCTGACTAACTGTAACTGCAATACCTAAATTCACGAGTAAACCAAAAAACATCTCCTAACAGATTATTATGCTAAATAAAAATATAATAACGTAGGTACTCCCTCAATTCCTAAATATCTGTCATTTTCACCTTCCGAGAAACAATTTTAACTAAACATATATTAAAAATATTAATATTTATGGTACATAATTAGTGTTATTGGAAAGATATTTGAATCTAGTTTTTTTAATAAATTTATTTGAAAATACAAATGTTGCACGTATTTTCTACAAATCGAGTTAAACTTGCGACACGCACACCAGCGACCGACGACAGTTATTTAGAGACGGAAAGAGTATGTTACAAGACATACGCATCAAGTGATTCCTTGTACCAACATTTCAGAAAAAGCAAAGCATTTCGAGAAATTGAATAATTCATTATTAAGCGATTCTCCCAGAAGATGCATCAAGAAACTGACTCTTGTCACTATCACCCGATACAATACAAGGTCATGGACAGAATAACGAGCACAAGAGTCAAGTAATTTAACTCCAGTTACCAAAGTAAGGATTTCCATACTGCTCATAGTTATCCATCTGGCACAATGCAAGCTTCGCAAGCACAGAAATATCACACATGGAAGAGCAGGGTTAAGTCACACCATGTAAACAAACTACGACCACCTACATGTGTCCTGCAGATTTACATACTAGGCTAGTAGCAAGGCCTCGGACATCACATGCTAGGCTCCTGCTAGTCTATAGAGAGAGAGGAGGGAGGGAGGGAGAGAGCAAACCATCGAGATAGGATAAGCAAAAACTCCCAAGCTAGCAAATGTTTCTAAACCGAAGAGGCAAAAACTTACAAGCCACAGGACTTAGAAACTACAAAACAAGATATTCTGGATACAATCAGAAAGTCGCTGAGCCTGTTCTCCTGAGTTGGTACTTGGGCTCCGGAAGAGGCGCAGAGAAAAGTATCTTTTCCAACTCCTGAAGATAACACAAAACAGGGTAAGTGAGTCAACGGAATCCATCATTAACTCCATCAGAGTACACGAATACAAGAACCTACCATGGGAACTGTATTGAATTAAATAAAAGAACCAAGAAATCAGACCAACAGATTGTTTGCAACTATCTAAGCATTTGCATCAGTAGTAGAGCGCCAGAGTCTTGGTTTTGATTTATTTTTGTTTTATTTTTTTTGGCACATGAGAAAATTAATTGTCAGAATACGATGTCAGGAAAATGCTTCAACCTGCTCATTCTCTGATAATATTACAGCAATATGAAAGACGAATTACTTAGTAACATAATATCCATCTAATACCATAAGCACTAAATAAAAGAGCAAAAAGTTGCAACCAACTAAACAAGATCACTTGGGTAGAAATTAAGTTTGAGATTGAGGCTACAAACATACTAACTGAACGATGAACAGGTGTCTGTATAAACTATTGAGTTACCAATATCAAGTGGTCATCACAATGTAGCAACAAAGACCAAGATATCAAGTCCAAACTTGAATAGTTAGTTACATATCACCCATCAACAGTAGAATATAAAGAAAAGAACATTAGCCATAATGGTACTAACACATCTGTGTAAATGACTGAACTCTGAACTCAAACCTGCGCATTTTTCCCAAACTATTTAACATTTAAAACTTCTCCAAATTACACTAGAACTTTTTTTTATAAAACTTTTGAGTTGTCTAGAAAAACTTGAAAAGATAGTTTCCACAAACAAATGATAATAACAACCAAGAGCTCTCTATTATAAATATAACATCATGTGTCCGTAGAGCAGTAGTTCTCTTCTACTCTAAATTGGTTGTTTGCATTAGACCTTATGCAGCGTAACCTAAGCCAGTGTAAACGTATGCAGTGTCTTGGCGTTTGATCATTCTGCACAGGCAAGCTGCATTTGATAAAAATAAAATTGTGTTTGATTGTTTACTTTTTGTTCCATGTAGTCACCTCCATGTTCGAGTTGAGGTTCATGTTCTAGTATAAGTATGAGGCATGAGAGTATTTCATTTTTGTGTGCGCATCGGGTTGTGCAAATCTAAAAAGGGCAGACCCAGTGCCGGAGGCTCCCACATGAGTGGGGTCTGGGGAAGGGATAAACCGAGACAAGCCTTTCCCCCGCAAAATCTGCGGAGAGGCTGCTTCGAACACACGACCTAGTGACTCAGTGAGACAGCTCTCACCACTGCACCAAGCCTGCCAGAGTTCGGGCCTCTTGCGACAGGGGAGCATCACGATGCCGCCTGAGCTCAGCAAGAGGACTGTGGACGAGGTGTGGAAGGGCATCCAGGATGCTCCAAAGAGAAATGTTGGGGAGGGTGGTCGGCGGAGGCGGGAGCGGGAGCGGCAGCCGACGCTTGGGGAGATGACGCTTGAGGATTTTTTGGTGAAAGCTGGGGTTGTTGCCGAAGGATATCTGAAGGACTTGAATGACGTAGGCAATGTGGACCAGGTCGGGAGCGCTGGGGCTGTGCAAATCTGCATTGTCTAATATGATCAAATCTGGCGTACTAGCTAATGCAGTATACTGTGCAAGCCTGAACCTATACAGGCAACCAATCAGACCCTAAGAACTTAGAGCTAGATATAGCAGGCTTGGGATGCACCCTTCTGATGCAAGACAGTAAATCAGAATGTGGATGTATCCAGCAAGAACATAAAATGGCTCTCTTAGAATTTAAATGAACATGTTTATCCATTTTTTGGCACATCATTCACCACATACGATTACTTTGAATGTGTATAATAACATTTGGTGGCCTTTTGAGGATAACTAGCGTAAATAAAAGATAAGCAGCTACCAGTGTTTGCAAATCATAAATCGAGTGGCAACAACTAGTCGACTTGTGAGTCGCGATTAGTTTAGGGCTAGTCACCCTAGTTGAATAGTTGGCCCAGGGCAACCTATTGCCTAGGGTTGGCTATCCCAGTATCATTGACTGCAAATCTAGTAGAGACTAGATGGAGAAGTTTAGCACACAGATTAGGGACAGAGGAGACAACCGGCAACCAGAGAGCAGAGGTCGGGGCGTGCGGTGTGGCACACTGTGGCATGGACCTCTGCGGGAAGGAGACAGGGGTGCACCTTGGGATGGAAGCAGGGTGGATGCAGCGTGGCAAGATGTAGGCAGAGGTGGCAGGCAGGAGAAATTTCCCCTTTCCCACTCGTGCTCCATTACAAGCAGTGGGTGAGGATCGGCTAGTTCAAAAACAAAGCTGCGGCTGTGTGTTAGTATATATAGTTGGTGACAAGCCAAGCTATTGTGGTCTGGGCCTCTGATACTACTGGGCTGAAGCCAAAGTTGCCAGTGAGACGTAGTCGACTAGTCAATGATTAGTCAACTAACCAATGTAATCGAATAGATGCACCTAATTGGTGTCCAGGGAAAGATTTGTTGATTAACATTGATTCATCTTTTTTTTTTGAAACAGAACCGGCAAGAGAGCTGCCTGTTGTATTAAAAAGAAGGGAGCCTACAAAGGCACTGTACAAACATGTACAAATTTGTACATTGATTAATCATGATTAACTGAATGATTTCAAAACACTCGCAGCTAAAACTACAAATAAGAATTATAATTTCCCTTTGGTATTTGCATCAACCCCAATAAATAGTTGAAGGGACAAACATCACAAATCTCATAATTGGATCAACCAACACGTGTGGCACATCAGATCTTAGTTTGTATACCTACCCAAACATGGTTTATCTCCAGCAATTGAAGCAAAAAGGATAGAACAAATGAAAATTAAAAATGTCAAGGGATTCAAGGATGTTTAGATAGATGCAAGTCTTAAAAGCAGCTTCACAATGTGAACAGAAATTAGAGGCAGATGCCAATAAGAGTAAAATGACACATATTCAGAAGCAGAAAGTAATGGTAAAGTGAAAATACTAATTGGTAACTGCACCTCTGCGCCAATCAAGCAGGTATGTGTGTGGGTGGGTGGGTGGGGGCGGGGCGCAACACTTGTTAGCAAAACGATGGTGACATTCTGATGGTATTGTATTGAAGAACTAAAGTACCTTTTGCTTCTTTAGCTTCTCATTCTCCTCTTCTAATCGAGATACCTTGTTTTCCAGTTCATTAGTGTAGGCCTGTTGAAAATACAGTGCAAGTAATACTCAGGCTTAAGAAGAACAGCATCATCATTTCTAAAATTTTACTCACAGATCACAAGAAAAACTAGCTCAATCAATTAGCTAAAACATAGAAAGGCAGGAAACATATATTGCAACCTGCTTCCTAGCCCTTGAACGAGCGGCTGATTCCCTATTCTTGATCATCCTCTTCTGCCTTCTCTCCATCAACTTATCTGCCACATCTCCTGGGGAGCCACGCTTTCTACCAGGCGTCGGAGAATCAGAAAGTGCACCCATCATTGGTGAAGTAATGTGGCCATCAGAGTATGACTCCAGAATAACACCTGGCCCAACATTCAGAGGCTGAAGGGCTAACCGACCCGGCATGTAAGCACCTGGCAAACTATGTTGCCCGTGCTGATGGGGCTCGATAGCTGTAATCCGCTGCTGATAGTGGTCTAACCATTGTGCCCCAGCGGTAAAACCCGCAGCCCCAGCGCTCCCGACCTGCTCCACATTGCCTACGTCATTCAAGTCCTTCAGACATCCTTCGGCAACAACCCCAGCTTTCACCAAAAAATCCTCAAGCGTCATCTCCCCAAGCGTCGGCTGCCGCTCCCGCTCCCGCCTCCGCCGACCACCCTCCCCAACATTTCTCTTTGGAGCATCCTGGATGCCCTTCCACACCTCGTCCACAGTCCTCTTGCTGAGCTCAGGCGGCATCGTGATGCTCCCCTGTCGCAAGAGGCCCGAACTCTGCTCATACTGGCTGGTAGTGCCACCATCAGGGTCCAGGCCATCAGGAAAGACACTCTTCAGCAGCTCCTCAAGGTTCATGCTGTGTAGGGGTTCTCCTAAATGGCTCTGCACCTCGTCAAGGGTGAGGTTATACAGAGACCCTTGTCTTGCCAGGCTCTGCATCTGCCCGCGTTGCGCCGTGCCAGCACCGCCACTGCCACCCACGCCTCCTCCACCTCCCCTAGCCTGTGATGTCATTGTCTGACTCCCCATAAATCAACAGATTTCAGGAACAACGCCAGCCGGTCTCAGCTTTACTGACACTCAGATCAAGCGAAGACAAATCGCACATCGACGGGCAGAAAGATCACAACCTGCAGATCCAAAATACAGGGGGGGAGCCATCAGGCAGCTGCCACTGAACCCAACACGGATAAAAATGGAAAAAAGGGGTCAACATTATTATGAATCATCAATCGAGGCATGGGAAGGGAAGAAGTGACCTTACCTGCACGTGAGACGCGCAACCCTGGCCGGCGCCGGAGTCGGTGACGACACCGCCTCTCAGGTCTCAGCTCGCCGCGGGCGTCGACCACTGGCCTGGGCGCCTGGCGTCGGTCTGGGGCTGCTTCGAACGGAACAGGAGTGGGTCAGGCAACAAGGCAGAAGGCGCTACCTTGTGTGGCCCGACCTAGGCCGAGCAACCTAGCAGGGCGCGGGGCGCGGGCCGCGGGCGGCAAAAATCTTTCCCTTTTACTTCTCAAGAGGGGCGCCGCCGCCTAGCATCTGCCATTAGGGGTGGAGGTGGAAAGGGAGGAGGCGGCCATGTGGTGGCTTGGTGGGTGTGCGAGGAAACCGGGGGCTTGAGAGAGATCTTGTTTGGTGTTAAGCAGCACTGGTAGTACGCTAACTAAAGCCTTAATAAAAACTGCTGTACAGGGTAATTAAGAACTATAAGACGTGGGCCCCACCAGCAGAATAAGAAAAAAAATGGAATGGAAATGGGGTTCACGCTTTTGTCTTGTCCTGGCGTGGCAAATAAGGTCTTCAGGACACGGCTAGATGCCAAGTGTAGGTGGTGTTTACCTTTGGATATTTTTTCTCTCTCTTCTATAAAATATGAAATAATATATTTAGAGCTAGTTTATAAGTTATTATTAGAACTGTCCTTACAATTTTTTATTTGAATGGCAAAAAGCGGCAACAAGAGAGACACCAACCTTAACTGCATATCCTATGACTATCAGCCTATTTGTTTGGTATTTGTGGCAATGTAAGAACGATCGTAAATTTCAAAGTAGGAATAGTATTTTCTCTCACACAAACCAACCAAAAGAAGATTTCTTCACAAACCAAAGAACGATCTAAGGAACCACCAACCGAACAGGTTGTATATTGTGATCCATTCTTGATGAGACTTGCATGTTTGACAACGATCTCATAGCACCTTCCATGATGAATCTTTGGAGGAGTTCTATCAAATAGTATATTAATGAGAATTGACTCTACGTTGATTATGTGAACTCTCGGAAATGAACGTAGGAGTTAAGAGCTGAAAAAAAAACGAGTTTCTCCTGAGTCTATTCTATGAATCACTCTCAACCATGAAACCACTACCACATAGAAATTAGGAGCGCAAGGAGCTCTATCAAGCCCCTTATATGGCTACTATCTTTAAGGCTCAATATGTTATGTGTTTCCCTTTGTAGCTACATTGAACTAGCCCAATTATCGCTTACATACTCCAAATTAAACCTCTTATACTTTTTAATGACATGGATATGTATCCCTATTTTGTACAAGGAGGTCAAAGATTATCTCCATAATCTAAAAAGATTATAGTTTCTTATATAAGGCCTAAGTTATTATCGACTTAAAGCATAATATAGTTTTCTATCGTTATTTTCTTTGTCTCAAAACATCTGTGCGCGGTGTGGTTTGGTCAAAACATGGGTGAACATTTTTTTCAACTCAATTCTTGGCCCCTGTGTGTTTGGAACTTTATAGAGAACCAAACCATGATAAAATCTTGTAAAAATACGTGCCAATGAAATATAAAGATACTGAATATGGGGATCAGAAATATATTTCTATACTGCTGCTAGCAATCTCTTTTTGTGTGTACTATGGCTAATTTAAGTTTTCCTATAAGTATATGCACATATGGCATCTGGGGGAGTAGAGACTTCACACTCTAGATTCCTTAACCATACTAAAACAAACCTCCGAGATGCCAACTTGTTAGTTTGATCTCTGTGCCTTTTTCGCTATGTAGACTATAATAATAGTATAAGCAACAGGTAGTATAAAACGAAGAGTTTGGAAGTTCTAGGTGTTGTCTTTGGACCAAGTTTTTTTTTTTTTTTGCAGTGTTATCTTAAACAACAAACGGCAGTTAGTCAGTTACTCTTTGTTTACCATTTAGACAATGTTTAAATAGAGTTAAACAACCTAAACTATTTTATATAATATATGCCACTAAAGTATATTGTTTTGTATAATACCGTTTAAATAGCACAATAGAGTTGAAAGGCCTAAATAGAGTACATATTTATACATGTAAAAATTAAATATGCTAGCAAGTATATATATTTGTGCATGTAAAAATAAAGCCCTCTAGCAAGAAAAAACTTTGGGCAAAGAAACTAAATCCTAGCCCCTTCACATATTTACATTGTTAATTGGTTATGAGCTAATGTGGTGGCTCAAATTCTCCTATTGACTACACGGTAGTTTAAAATGGTTGTTCGTTTAATCATATTTAATTACTACCTTTTGGTTAGGTTATTTTCATAATCTATATGTTCATGGATCAATTAGTGTCTAACTGACATGGTTAACCTTTGTTTATTATTTAAAGACCATTTAAACGGCTTAAACTGCTATTTAGACAAACAATATAATATCCATGGTAAATAATCGTGAGCATCTCCTCAGGTGTATTGCGTTTCTTAGTAAGAGTTAGGAACATTGGCGGATCTAGGATTTCAATCATAGGGGTACGAACTAAAGTGATGTAGTTCATCGATATTAAAATCATATAATTTGATCACTAATATAATAATAAAACAGTTGTAGTGATATATAAATGGAACAAGTTATATGTTTTAATTACAAGTTTGCAACTAAATCTTATGAATTATTATAACAGAAACTAAATCTTCACAAGCTACTCCGTGATTTTTGGAAGCGCTTATTGACATCTTAATCGCTTACACATCGGAAAAAGTCACGGGCTCAATAAATGTGATAAAAAATCATTCAAAATTTAATCACCCATCTTGTTTCAAAGCTTGGTCTTCACAAGGTTATTGCTGAAAATACTCAATACTTGCAGTAGCCATAGGAAGGATAAAAAATACTCTCTGAAAATACTCTCTCAACATGAGTAATTTTAGCAACAATAATCTCTAATATAATGGACCAATCAAAGTTATACTAGGTCCCCCGGAATACGTCCCTTCCAACCATTATACACCCAGAAAATGCACACAGGAATTCATCTTCATTAAAATCAAAGGCTAATAAAACACCTAAATCAAATCCGATGGCCACGATTCGATGTGGGATGCCATGCTTCTCACGCATCCACACCCCGCACGTCGATGCCGCGCCCTCGCTCCTCCCCGCATCCCGCACGCCCGAGTTCGATTCCTACTTCCGCCCATGCACTCCTCTCCCCCTCGCGTCGCGGCGTGCCGGCCGGTCCACCGCCGTTGGCTCATGACGCGAGGCGTTGGCAGGGCACGATGGCGCCCCCTGGGCTGCGGCGTGGCGCCGCCCGTCACCGGCCACAGCGCCACGGGAGCAGGCCCCTCCGGTGGCTGCTGCCGCGGGTGCTTCACGACGTGGCTTCCTCCCGCCGGTCTGCATCTCCTCCCGTGCTCCACGAAACCCTAGCTGTTGTCCCCATGTCTTCGGCATGGTTCGTAGGGATGGCGCCAGGCTTCCATCTGCTAGCGTCTTGGTGGTGGCGGGCGACGGCATACGCTTCCTCCTGATTTGTTGTATGTGCTATATTTGACCTATCAAGTTCATACATCATCTTGTTTATTATGTATTTTTAGTTCCAATTCACGATGACTGCGTCTGATACTCTGTTTTAATTTGATCTATTCTAGGCTAAGGTTGATTTTCTTCGAAATCTTCGCCTTCCCAATTTGGTCATGCCTCGAGTGTAAGTGACAAGAAGACAAGGTACCCACCTAGCTAACTGCTGTGACTGAAAGTGTCTCTTCATTTTTCCTCAATTACTCCATTCTTGCTTGTTTATTAAATTGGGGACTGAAAATATTGAAAAAATACTGTCAAAGACAAGCCCATTTTGAGATTTCAGCACCTCCTATTGGTTATCAAGAGTTTGTGCTGGCTCACCGCTTCTAAATAGCCGCTGATTTTGTTGGATTTGTAGTTTGATTAAAAACATATGTGACAAGCAGTGAAATTCATCACACCGTAATGATATAGCCACTTGAGTCATAGATGCTTAATCTGTCTGTGACCTGACATTCATCATATGTCATGTATGCAAATTCTAAAAAAAATATAGCACCACATGAGTTGATTTTTATGATCTTACCACCCGCAATGGCGTATGGGTTAAACAATTTTGTCAATTTGATCAGTTGCTACTTCAAAGTTTCAAACCTTGTGATGTATTCTGAATATCTTTTACATTACGGTTTCCTTTTATTTTGCGCTTTACCACTTAAACTTGATGCCTCTATGGTTTCACATATTTAGAGAGGGATGCAGCCATGGCATGAGAGGAGGTAGCTTTGAGACAGACCAATAGCAAATGCTTCAGAGTTTTAGGCCATGTGATGTATTCTGAAAAAAAAATTACATTACGATTTCCTTTAATTTTGTGTTTTGCCACTTAAATTTGATGCCTATGTGGTTTCCCATATTTACAGAGGGATGGGAGCCATGGCATCAGAGAAGATGGCTTTGAGATAGAGGAAAAGCATCGCGTCCATCTGAGGAGAATAGGAGCGGCAGAACTGAAGTGGAATAGGAGGGATGCACTACCTGATTCTGTACTACCCAGGGGTGGTATTAGCCTGAACTTGAAATATAGGTTAGTGTTATCACAGTTTTTTGGAAACCTCACTAAATCCATTCTTTTTCGATCTCGGTCTGTGCAGTCTCACAAACCTGATAAACTTCACAACCTTGCTAAAGTAAGTTCTTTCAAACTGTATAATTCATAGTTCTTAACCTGCTAAAATAAATTATTGCCTTGTCTTGGGGACCTT